AGAAAGACAGGGCAGACACACCAGGGGAGAAGATATCAGAGAAGCAATACAAAAGACCCCCCAGAACTGAAAAAGAATACAAGCCTCAGACTACAAGTGCCCATCGAACACACAGCATAATGGATTACAAAGACCCCAAGCAGGGTACACCACCCTGAAATTTTACATCAGGAGGAATACAGAGGAGAACCTAAAAGATCCCAGTGTTGCGAGGAACAGGAGGGGGTGTCACACACAGCGGGTAGGATAGTGGACTTTTCCAGAACAAGACCTTTGATATTCTGAGAGAAGTCTTCATTCCATATTTCTATATCCAGTCAAGCTATTAATCAGATAGGAAGGCAGAACACAGCCTTTTTTCAGACATGCAAGGACCCATTCCTTTTCACATGCACTTTCTCTGAATGCACAGGAAGATGTTCTCAAGTGTAACAATGGAGTAAAGCAAAACCCAGGAAGACTTAGGATCCAGGAAACAGAGGGCCCAACACGGAGCTGGGGTGAAGGAAAGAGCCCAATTAGGGAAGGGGCGTCCTGGGGTGAGAGCTGTGGATGATGCCGCATTCAGAGTGGAGGGGGATGGAGGCTTCCAGGAAAAGCAGCAGTGGCCACAGCCAAAATCAAGCCAAAGAGAGGAACTGACGCGTCACCCAGCGCGTTTGGAAACTGACGTTGGTGTGCATTTGGGAATCTGGAGGAGCTTTTGGAAAAAAAAAGTGAAGGGTTCATAAAAACTAAGCAAGGCACTTATTCCCTTTGGGTAAAACAAATGGTTGCCTAAAAAAAGGAATCGCCACCATAGGACACTACTTGTATTAGTCATAATAAAGTCATGCGGATGACTGAAGCTGTAACCCAGAATTAGGTGGGAACGGGGGAGGGGGAAGGAGCTAGGGAGAAACTGCTTAACGGACACAAAGAATAAGTACGTTTTGTAATGATAAATATGCTAATTATCGTGACTTGATCATCACATATGGTACACGAGTACTGACAGTCAACTCTGTACCCCACAAATACATATAATCAATTATGTTTCAATAGAAAAAATAAAAGAAAATGGGATAAGGGTTAAGTGTGGGGGTAGTATGGCACACCCTAATCCTCACCTATCTTAATAGGAATTCAATAAATCTCAAGTGCACAAATCAAGGACTAATGCCCAGTGCCAATTATTTAGATATATAGAGGTAAATATTAGAGAAAAAATAGCTAAAATTGTTAAAAGCGGCAGGACTTGGTGGGGGATTTGGGCTCTTTTTCATAAAAAGCCTTTTAGAACCACTTGACTTTTAAACTACGTCATACATTACTTTGATAAAAATAAATGTTAATACTTTAAAAAGTGAATAAAATAGGACTTTGAGGAAGCAGGAATAAGGGGCTTATTTTACTCGAACAACTTAGATTCTAATACGTTGTAGGACTCATTCCTCAAGAAACCGGGGCTGGGCTGGGGAGCTGATATTAAACCTGTGCTAAGTACACCAGGTCTGGCACCGCCCTCTGGGCTCCCCAAGGTCTCAGAAGTGCCAGGAGGCAGTGCCAGGGGCACAAAGAAAATCTCAGCCAAGAGAACCAACTTGAATCTGAATCCAACTAGCTAATAATGTGCCTGGCCCAGTGCTATGCACTTTAGATGCTTTATCTTGCTGAATCTTCTGCCTAAGAAGGGTGTGGGTGGGGTCTTGTAATATCTTGTTCCATCAAAGAGGAAATGAAGCTTGGAGACATTGCAGAGGGTGTTCGGCACTGACTGCATTTACTAAGTGGCAGAGGCCCCGTCTGTCTGACGGCACACGCTCAACTCCTAATCACTCTGCTGCAAGGCCTCCCCCTCTCTTCACATATTTACAGTTGTGTAAAACAAGTTACATGACCTGTTCATCCACTTCCAGTTCCTTGCCTTTGAGTAAGTTCCTTAAACTCTCTGAACACCAGCTTCCTCCAGAAAGTGAATGAGCCCTGCTCTGTCCCACTCAGAGGTGAGGAGGCTCAAATGGACAATACATGTGAAAACATTTTATAAATTTTTTTTTTTGTCTTTTTGTGACCGGTAAGGGGAACGCAACCCTTGGCTTGGTGTCACCCACACCACGCTCAGCCAGTGAGCGCACCGGCCACCCCTATATAGGATCCGAACCCGTGGTGGGAGCGCCGCTGCGCTCCCAAGCGCCGCACTCTCCCAAGTATGCCACGGGGCCGGCCCAACATTTTATAAAATTTAAGTGTCAACTTATGCAAATTAAAACATTAGTTTTGATTACTACGGGAGACAGGTGGTCTCACGATGCTATTTGGTCACCTATATAAATGTTCAACATACCATCCCTTGGTCATTTATGGTCATTTGCATGACCAAGGTGAGTACAGATTTTGAGAAGAGACAGCTGGCAGCTCGGGATCTGGAATGACATTCAGGAGGGAGGCTGATGCAGTTGGTGCCTTGACCCTAAATGTGGCTGCCTCCAAATGCATCGTGGCCTCCACTTGGGGACCCTGTTAATATTTAGTTCTGAGGATTTATTCTTTTTATTTTCCATGAATCCCAGAGTCCTGGGTGTGCATGATGTTGAGAGGGCTGTTGCCTTCAGTACCAGCTCAGCACTTGGGATGAGACAGAAATGAAGAATTCCAAGAGAGAAACTGTCTCTTCTCTTTTTACCCAGGTGTCTATACAAGTATAATTTGTATAAAACTTTTTTAAAATTTATTTTTAAAATTGTCACTTTGCAATTTATGGGGTACAACTTGACATTTTGATACATGTATAGGCTGTATAAGGATTAAATCAGGGTAATCGGTGTATCCAGCATCTCATGCATTTATCATTTCTTTATGATGAGACCATTCAAAAGCCTCTGTTCTAGTTATTTTGTAACATACAATATCTTACTTTAACCATCACCAACTCTCCGGTGCAATAGAACACCAGAACTTACTCCTCCTGTCTAATCATAACCTTGCCTCTGTTGATCAACCTCTCCCCGTCCCTCGCCCCCCTCCCCACAGGGCAACTTTTTCCTTACTTGGCTTGGGAATGATTTCATGGATTTAGTGACTTTGCAGCCATTTACTTTATTGGCCAAGTCTGCCACCTGGTGGACAGTGTTCACTTTTTATTTCTGAACTTTTTCTTTTAAAAAACCCGTCAGATACTCTTACAATCTGTGAGGTTTGTAAGGCTGGCATTATTATTTCCACTATTATAATGAGAAAATGGGGGCTTACAGAGAGGAAGGAATTTGTAAGTACCTGGAACAGCAGTTAGAGCCTTTTCCCACCATTCAGCAAAAACCAAAATCACTGTCGTCTGAGTGCTCTGGGTTTGAGCCCAGTTTAAGTCCTGGCTCAGCAACTGCCACCAAGGTGAGGTCTTTCCACAGAACTGCATTTGGTCACCACCAGGCCTTCTGTTATTTTGAACATTTGCCCTTGGTGGAACTGTTCTGTGCAATGAACGTGCTAGATAAAGTACTTCCAGAAGGAAAAGTGACAGCCGATATACCTTTTCAACTCTCGTGTGTGTGTGTGTGTGTGTGTGTGTGTGTGTGTGTGTGTGTGTATTTTAAGGTTCACTAGGTCGTTGAAATCCCCCAAAACTGAATTTAGTTAAATTCAAAAATACAGGCAGCAGATCTCCTTGGACTCCTTCAAATACATCCATCGACCACTTCATGAATAGGTGTCCTTGGCTTTGAAGTTCCCTGTGGGCTGCTTGGGCATTCTCTGCTCCAGGGAGAGTCTGCCCTCCAGGGTGCAGCATGCCCCGAGGCTGAGTTCTGTGATCTGGAGTCAGGAGCCTGCTGTGACCCCGCCTGACTCTGTCATTCATTAGAGATGGGACCTGGGGGCGGGGATCTCTCCTTGGGACATCTTTCTCATTGGGAAACCAGGGATAAAAAGCAGTATTCATCTCAAAAGGTGTGTGAAGTTTCAGTTAGACTATTCACATGAAGCACTCAACACTGAGCCTGCACATTATGTGAGCTTTGTAAGTGTTATGGGTCAAATGTGTTCCCCACAAGCTCATGTATTGGAAACTTGACCTCCATTATAACAGTGTTAACAGGGGGAAATCCAAGTATGATAATAGAAAGGTGGGGCCTTGAAGAATGGGTTGACCCATTCATGGAGTAATAGGCGTGGTTCTGATGGCTTTATAAGGGGGGTGAGTGAGGTTAGCCCTCTCTCGCTCAGCCCATTCTTGCCATGTGACACCCTCTGTAGCCACAGATCACCCCACAAGGAAGGAGGTCCTCACCAGATGTGTTTCCTGGTCTTTGGACTTCCCAGCTGCTGACACTATAAGAAATACATTTCATTTCTTTATAAATTACCCAGCTTTAGGTATTCTGTTATAAGCCACAGAAATAGATGAATACAGTAGGTATTAGCTGTTCTCTGTGATTGCTCTTGAGCAGACCTAGGAACTGTGACAGAGGTTGTATTTATGAGACATAGAGTGCAGGCTGGGGGCAGCCAGGGGAGTGGGTGTTTACTTTACACATGTTCTCCTAGAGTGGTTCTCAAGCTAGGAGGTGTTTCTCAAGCTGGGAGGTGTTCTGCAAGCCCCTCTCCCCACGGAGGAGGTGTGTGCTGGAAAGTATGTGGGTGTTTTGGATTATCCAATGAAAGGAGACACTACAAGCATATGGGGGAATTGGACGCAGTGCAAGGGACTGTCCCACTCAATTAAGAAGTGTCTGTTCAGTAGACATCTCTCTAAAGAAGATATGCAAATGGCCAATAAGCACATGAAAAGATGTTTAACATCACTAGTCATTAGGGAAGTGCAAAAGATATATGAAAAATCCTCAACATCTCTAATCATCAGAGAAATGCAATCAAAATCACAAGGAGATACCACCTCACACCCATTAGGATGGCTATTATTAAGAAAAAACAAGAACAACAACAAAAAACAACTTGGGATTTCGAGCTTCAAATGAGACTTTCAGATTTCAATGGGAAACTGAACAGGAAGAGAAATTTTCTACCTTGTAGATACAGGACTTAGCATTGAGGAAGAAGAGCTCGATGGTAGCGTTATCCTTCAGGTACGAAATGCTCTCTATGTAGAACCTGGAAGAGAAAAGCTGCATGTGAGCCACAGAAACAGCACAAGCTACTTAAGCTGCATGATTTGAGATAAGGACTGGAACTCCTAATCCTAAAAGAACAAAAGAAAAAGGCATCAGCTGTTTTTCTATGACTCCCTTCCAAGTACCCTTGTTTTTCAAGTACATTTACAGAGGGTTAGGATTGTCATACCTGACAGCTCTCACCTTAGCCAAAGAACTGGGCCTGCCACCAACCCATAAGCGCAGACTCCAAACTGACCGTCTACTTTCTTTTTCCTAAACTGCTTTCCAATTTTTCATAATGTTACTTGTTTCCATTACATTGTTTTCTTTGTCCTAATCATTGTTGAGTTGGATTTCTAAAAGATACTTACTTCTGCTTAATCATATAAGGGAGGGGGGTCGCATTTCTCTTCCGGAAGGTGGTGAAGTGTGATTTGATTTCTACACATCCAGGGAGCTGTGGTAAGTGTTCTTAACACTGTGATATTAATGCATATTAAGCCAAACGAGAATTGGATTTCTATCCAGATGGAGCTTATAGATTTTTTTCAAGATGAAACATGCTGACATTATTTAAGTTTACACTAAATGTGCCTTTACACATTGGCCTTGGAGTTTATTAAACTCTTTAATTGGATAATGTACTTGTACTGTCTGAGGATCAAACACACCGAGGGAGTAGGAGTTGAGATGGGGGTGGGGGAAGAGGAAATGAGTGAAATACAGTGTCTTGAAGGGGAAGGAGATTCTTACTGGGTGCGACAACTCTTTGATTGGACTAGGAGGGCATTGGGTACCGGTCTCTTGGAAACTGCGTGTACCAAGATGGGACAGAGGGTGAAGAAGGAGAAATGAGAAAAAACAAGTTCTGTGGTCTTCTAGAACAGTGTTACAATCTGATGACAAGAATCCCAGGGAGGGAGTCTAGCCCCAGCTCTGTCTGACTTAAGGCAAGTCACATAATCTCACTGTGCTTCTGTTTTCTGGACTGCATAAGAAGAAAGGGGGACTAGGCCAGTGGTTCTCCACCTAAGATGTCTACTGATTTTTAAATATTGGAAAATAATTCAAATTAAAACGACGACAACAACAACAGCACTATAAACAACAAGCCTGCATTGTACTTCAAAAAATTCATGGAAAAACAGAATTGAAAAAATAACAGAAATCTTCCCATGAACTTTTTGAAGTGTCTTTGTATAAGGCAAACAAAACATATCCATAGGCTAGGTCCAGCCCAAGCCACCAGTTTGCAGCCTCTTGTCTACGAACTAAATTAAGCAATGTCTTCTATCATTTTTTCAAATGTGTGCAGAGGCTGTTGTGATTAATATAATACAGATTCATTTAAATCTGTGAGTGAATCCGGAGTAACTTCAGATTATAGGAGATGTTCTCAATCAACAGATACTAGTAGTACAATTACCATCATGTCAGGGTCTACAGAATTTTTGGGAATTACAAAATGGGTCCTCATACTTGCAAAGCCTGGGAATGAATGGACTGGTGGACCTCTAGCCACCTCCAAAAGCACCTGCCTCTTGCTTTTGGAGTAAGTGTTTTAGGCCATGGAGGCCTCCACTTTGGGTTTGCAGTGGTTTTAGAGGTTCTGTAAAGTTATGCAACTTTGTTTTCTAGTAATGGAGAACAGAAATAAAGTAGCAAAGTTTACATCTCAAAGCACAGAAATCTTCCCATGAACTTTTTGAAGTGTCTTTGTATAAGGCAAACAAAACATATCCATAGGCTAGGTCCAGCCCAAGCCACCAGTTTGCAGCCTCTTGTCTACGAACTAAATTAAGCAATGTCTTCTATCATTTTTTCAAATGTGTGCAGAGGCTGTTGTGATTAATATAATACAGATTCATTTAAATCTGTGAGTGAATCCGGAGTAACTTCAGATTATAGGAGATGTTCTCAATCAACAGATACTAGTAGTACAATTACCATCATGTCAGGGTCTACAGAATTTTTGGGAATTACAAAATGGGTCCTCATACTTGCAAAGCCTGGGAATGAATGGACTGGTGGACCTCTAGCCACCTCCAAAAGCACCTGCCTCTTGCTTTTGGAGTAAGTGTTTTAGGCCATGGAGGCCTCCACTTTGGGTTTGCAGTGGTTTTAGAGGTTCTGTAAAGTTATGCAACTTTGTTTTCTAGTAATGGAGAACAGAAATAAAGTAGCGAAGTTTACATCTCAAAGCGAAATAAGTTAAATTTGATTTAATTTAAAAAAAAGCTAAATCTATATCCTTTACAAAGGCCTTTGGCAAGGGGTAGTAAGAATAAAAAAATAAGTGGAAGGAAGGAAGGAAGGAAGACAGAGGGATGTGTGTGTGGGGGAGGGAGAAGACAAGGAGAAGAGGGGCGCGGGATGACAGAGGCTTCTTTAAGGCTGAGTAATATTTTATTGCATGTGCATACCATGTTGGATCAGGGCTGCAGGTGTTTAGAGTAATGCCAAGGTGTGACCTATTCTAGATGAATCTTGCTTCTGTGCCTTTGTTCAAAGCTATTCCTCTCACCTCCCAAATAATCCTCCTCCATACACTGACTGCGTCCACCCACTGCAGTCCCTGCTCACCCTCCCCACAGAAGAGTGTCCCTGCTCCCTGACACTCTGCTCATTGGATTGCGCAGGCGCCTGTAATTTTCTGATCACTAGGATGCCTGCCAACTCCTGGAGGGCCAGGAGCGCATCTTACTCAATTTTGTATCCCAAGCATGAACACAGTGCCCGGCACAGACAGGAGCTTGGTAAATATCTGAGAACGAAAGACTTTGATTTCTGACGTTTCCCCTCTGTCTCCATTCACCTTGGTTGAAGTTCCTGCGGAGGCAACTCCGGAGAAAGAAGAAACAAAAATGATGTCCCAGATGTCGTAAAATTCCAGGCGATGGGATTCCATGCAGCCAGTCATTACCCCCAACCCTTTCTCTCACTGTTAACATGGAAAGTTGTTAAAGCTGCTGGGGACCTTGTGTGCTAATCCCGGAATAAGAGCAGAGGCCTCCTGAAGTGGACAGGAACCTTAGTACTTTAATATTAATTTTGAGTCTAAATCGGTAGAGTCTGAAATAACTTAATTTTGAAAGCAATGCCACACCTTTTTATTCCATTTGTGTTAGTTCTTGAGAATTAAGGACTGAAGGCAGTCTGTGACCCCCCACCCCAATTTTCTCCTTGATATTATGCGAGGGTACTTCAAAAAGCTCATGGAAAATGGAATTGAAGGATAATATAAACCTTCCCATGAACTTTTTGGAGGCCCCTCGTATTAAGAAAGCATAACACTTCCCTGTTCTTTTCAACTCTCTAATAATGAAAAACTCAAGTGAGTGGCAAATTCTACATATTTTGTGACAATGTTCATTTCCACCACGTTCTCCGTTGTCTGGCCACACAAGAGGCAGAGAAGGTGCAGGAAAGAACAAGCCTCTTCTGAGATGAAGAAAAAAATCACCTCCTCTTTACAGAAACTGGAAAGCAGTTTCCTATTGACCTTTATCACCCAGACAACAGCCTGAAAAACCTGTGAGTTCCAGGCCTGTCATATGATTGTTCTGTAACCTTGGATATTCAACTCATCCTGAACTTTCCATCCCTGCCAGGAAACTGCTGGAGGAAAACAGACCTCCGACGTCCTTACTCACCAAGCAAGAGGCACGAGGGAGAAAAACCTTCTGGGGAAATGGGGAGTGTTGATGGTTTGGATTCAAAGCCAAGATTTTCTTTTCTTGTTTAAAAATTCTCTTCCTTTTCTGACTTCCAGGAGAGCCTCGTCAAATGTCCCTCCTTCAGCAGTAGGGGGCGGTGTCGCATTTCCTTTACTACCCGTGTGGGCAGGGGCGGGTTCCCTCAAAAACCTGGCTGACAAAGAAGATTCTGGTCTCTGGGCAAACTGGAGAAATGAATGATCTGTCTAGGATTCAGAGGGTAGCATGGACAATTCTAAGTCTGGTTCTGGATTAACCATGTCTTTCTGATACTTTGAAGTCTGGGGACTTGCTGACCCTGGAGGGACTGCCCCTCCCAGGAGTAGCCAGTTCCTAGAGATAGTACTCAACAGTGAGCATGACTTTCTTATGCAACCAGCCAATCCTACACCTCCCACCACCTCAGCTGCTCCTTCCCTGCCATCATCACCCAGGGACTCACACACACAGACAACGAGGGGCAGCCCCTATGCCCCAGAGCCTGCCGAAATTATTCAAACTAGCCAATCCCACAGCCTGCTTTCCCTGCAGACACCACAATAAAGGCTCTTGCCCACATCCTTCCTCCCTCCTGCTGCCTCCTGATCGACCTGATACACTCCTGGGTGGCCCTGGGTGGCCTTGCGTGGTGTGGCATGCCCCCTCCTCTTGGGAACTATGAGAATAATGAACTATCTATTCAATGGCAGGCCTCCCCTGATCGGCCGGTCTCCCACATCTGAATAATAATAACACCTATATTTTAAAACAGATTTTTTTGCACATTTAGCAGGACTGAATCTCAGGGCTTCTTTTGGAGTTGAAAGCAGCAACACTGTAGACCAAGAGCAAACCCAGCTAAGAGGGTTCTTTGAGCCCCAATGGCAATGTCACTTTCCAGCTAGCTCAGGGGGTCCTGACCTGAGAACATCCTGTCAGACAGTCTGGAGTAGGAATAAGTATGTGTTCTGTGTTTATGTGTTTGCTCTGAAGCCTCGGGGAGTCTCGTCCCCTTCTTTAGTTTGTGGCAGCCTCTGACTGTCACAGATGGAACACCGCCCAGTCAGATGGCGAGGGCCGGCCAGGTGACATCAGCCACGTCTCCTCCTCCATCCCTCTTGCTCTTCCCTCTCACATCCACCACCCCTTGGCACTTGGGAATCACTGAGTATTTACAGCAAGTGTTAATTAAATGGACCAGTGATTTCATTTTGCAATGAACATAATGTCACATTTGGAATGCTGACTTCTGGTAGCAAAAAAGAGCCATAATAATGAGGACAATCAGCTGTGAGTTTCTGCG